ATAAAGAGACAAAAAACTTTTAGAACAAAATTTTAACTCACTATCTGTAAAGACACGAAAAATGCTTCCAAAGATGACGGGTACCACTTAAAAAGTTAGTTCTTAACGAGAAAATAATAATAATAAATAAAACCTCGTTTTGGTGAAGTTCGCCTTTCAGGAGGGGCGATCTTAATTGAGTCCCTGGACTCTGATTCTCGGGAGTTGTTAATATCCCACGTACCGGTAATCAGTCAGGCAATAGAGGGTATGTCACTTAAAGTGACAGATCCTTCAAACCTCATTAAGAGGGTCAGGTCGACAGCTTGGGTACCAGGTCCAAAGGTGGACCAGGCTGCAATCCTGACTAATCTCAGAAGACAGAATCCTGGGATGGATACAACTAATTCGAGGTTGTAGTCGGGTGGCGAGACAACAGACTCAGGCGTGGGACTCAGTCATGTATCGAGATAAAAATGGAAGTAACAAAGAGGTGATTCTTGGCTCTGGTTACTTTCCGGGATCAGAAAATGAACCCTTACCACCAGAAGAGGTGTTAAGACTGGTGGAGTACTGTCATTAGGAGGGACTTTTTCTGATTCTGGGTTGTGATGCAAAGACACACCACGTTATTTGGGGTAGTACAGACATCAATGATAGGGGTGTGAAACTTCTAGATTTTCTAGTTGATTCAGACCTAGATTTCCTTAATCAGGGAAACGAGCCTACCTTTGTTACTAAAAACAGGAGGGAGGATTTGGATATTACTATCTGTTCGAGGTCATTGTGGTAGAAAGTGCAGGATTGGAAAGTGTCGGATGAAGACTCACTTTCAGACCACAGACTTGTAACGTTTAGCATAGAGTCAGCCGCTCGTGAATATAGGTGGGGTTGTAATCCTAGATGTACCAATTGGTCTTCATATTGTGAAGGCCTTAGGGACTCCATGGAATGCTTTTCTACCAGTTATGGTACGGAAGAGGAGTTGGAACTTGCAACAAATTTTCTGCAGGATTCAATTATTTCCGCTTTTGACAGAAAAAATGTAACCCAAAGAGACTTGAAACTAGCAGGAAAACTACTTGGTGGAATGCTGAGTTGGAAAGTCTTAGGGGTAAGGTGAGGAAGTTGCTGCATAAAGCAAAGAAAAATAGGAATCAACAGGCATGGGCTTTGTACCATAACGTTCGTAATTCCTGTAAAAAAGAGATAGACAAGGCTAGAACATCCGGTTGGAGGAGCTTTTGCGAAAACATTGAGAAGATACCAGAAGCATCTAGACTTCATAAAATTCTAGCCAGAGATGCCACAGCTAAGCTATCTTCAATTAAGCTACTTAACGGACGTTTCGCCCGTGACAGAGCTGAGTGTCTGAGGAATCTTGTGGGAAGTAATTTCCCAGACTTCAGAGAATTACAGCAGAGCAATAGGAATCGGAATCCACGTAAATCTCGTCCTGGACGAACTTGCATCCTACATTGTGACTCTGGAAAGGTTGATTGGGCTTTAGGCCGGTTTAAGCCATTTAAGGCACCAGGGGGAGATGGCATATACACGGTTCTCTTACAAAAAGAACTGCGGTATGTTCGTTTACCTTTGGTTAAAATCATAAGAGCAAGTAAAGCTCTAGGTTACACTCCTCAGGCATGGAAAATGACCAGAGTAGTGTTTATTCCGAAGGCTGGGCGTGCTGGTTATACAGCAGCCAAAGACTTCAGACCGATCAGTTTAACCTCATTCGTCCTTAAGACGTTGGAGAAACTGATAGATACTTTTATCAGACAGGAATGTCTGACGGATCAACCATTTATCCGGGACAGCACGCGTATAGAGCAGGCTGTTCTGTAGAAACAGCCAATCATTCAGCGATTAGCAGAATTGAGGAAGAGTTAGACTCAGGGGGTTATGCGGTGGGCACTTTTCTAGATATAGAGGGTGCTTTCCCTAACACCTGTAGTCAAAGAATATGCAATGCGGCTAAAAGATGTGGCATACCAGATTCACTGATTAGGTGGATTAAAGGTATGCTTTATAATAGAGCCCTGGAAGCAGAGTACGGAGAGGCCAAAATAAATGGCCTAGTTTCCTATGGTTGCCCACAAGGCGGAGTTTTATCTCCTCTATTGTTGAGCTTGGTGGCAGACGAGTTATTAGTAGAACTCAACGGCCAGGTATTTTATACGCAAAGCTATGCGGACGACTTCTTGATTATTGTAAGACGTCTCTCGTTAGATAAACTCTTAGAATTGACAGAGAGGGCATTAGGCATTGTCAAGAGATGGTGTGAACGAACTGGCCTCTCTGTTAATCCTGACAAAACGGATATAGTTATTTTTACTAGGAAATACAAGGTTCCCATTGTGAGAAAACCTGTATTTTATGGGAAAGAAGTGTCTTTTTCCGATTCGGTTAAATATCTAGGAGTGATTCAGGATAAAAAGCTGATCTGGAGAAAGCACTTAGAGTATCAATATAGTAGGTTTAGCACTACATTTTGGGTTTGCAGAAGGGCTATTGGATCATCTTGGCGTCTAAAACCGGATATGGTTCAGTGGCTCTATCGTATGGTCCTGTTGCCAAGGTTTCTGCATGCATCAGTTTTTTGGTGAATTAGAAGCCAGTTGAAAACGGTGAAATGGAAACATGAACAACTACAAGCAATGGTGTTTAGAGGGGTTACTGGAGCAATAAGAACTACGCCAACATCTGCGTTAGGTTTCTTAATGGCGGAGGAACCCCTACACATTTTAACGGTTAAGAAGGCTGCTCTCACAATGACCAGACTTCAAGCACAGGGGAAATGGAGAGCTAGAGGTAAGAGTATTTCCGTGCCATGCGCAACACCAAAATTTTAGAAGCATGCACGGCAAAATCACGTGCCTAGCAATTTCTTTCTCGATGATCTACATTTTGTTTCTACCTGTCACTTCGTACACCAAGATTATAGGTGTAACCTTCTTTCCGTGTATCTGTGTCGATAGTCAGGCGGCTTTGAACGCCTTTAGTAATCCGACTATAGAGTCAAAACTAGTTTGGGAATGTCGAAAGGTATTGGACGAACTAAGTTTGAAAAATAAGCTCTCATTAATCTGGGTACCAGGACAAGCGGGAATCAGAGGAAATGAAGAAGCAGATATCTTAGCCCGTAGAGGGTCTGAAATGACTATGACTACGACTTAAAATTTTTCATTTTTTTTCAAAATTTTTTTCATGAAAGAGCTTCTAAATACATATAAGTTCATATAAGTCAAAATTTTTTTTCATCTATTTATGGCTCATTTCATTTAAATTGTCATATTCGTTTCCCTTGCCAACATAAAAGTGATTTTCATAATATTGACAGAACAAAAAGCAGGCAAAATGTCAAAAGTGTAATGCGTCCCCGGAGACATTTTGAAGGTTTAAATAAATGATATGTTGAAAATATAGTGTTTAAACAAGATTAAAAAAATGTTTCGTAAAGTATTAGTTCTATATTTAAGGAGAATCAAGTGTTGGTAATTAAACTTTATTTTATACAATTTCCAGAAAATGACGTGTCCCTCACTTTTGTATTTTTATGTTTTGCCGGCAGAATTTCCTACTCTTATCTGCTATTTAAATTACCTTATGAGCAAAACATTTTCTTTACCATCGCATAAGCAGCAGAACACAACAACGAAGTGTGTGAAGAAAACGAAAACGATATAAGTATAAATCTGCTCGTTTGTCATGGAGGCAGAAAAAGCCGAAACACTTTCGTAATTGAATTTCTGTCAACAGTGTAACGCCTTGAAAATGGAAAGTAAATGTTTCGAATTTTATATCGGTATGAAATTTAATGTATTTTTGGATTCTCTTTCGAATGAGACCAACCAAAACCAAAATGAGCAAAATGTCAACAGTGTAATAGTCATAAGTGAAATGCAAATTTGTATATATGGCTTCAGTTAACGTAATAAATCACAGAGACCTACAAAATAAAACTTTTTTCTTTTATTTTGATATCAGAATGGTTTCTAATGTATTTTTGAATGCTGAACACGATCCCAGGTCTTAAAATTACCTAGCATGTCAGGATTTTTAAAAAAGTGGGGCTTAAAACCCCCAAAAAACGTGTTTTTATGGGTGTTTAATATGATTTTTCTCTTTAACCAGACGAGGTAAAAACTTCAAAAAAGTCATAAATTAAAGCTTAAATTGTCTACTACATGACCCGTACACGCAACCCTCCCCCCTAATTTTTTTTCAATAAAATATACCCGCCCCCACAAAAAATTTTTTTTTTAATTTTTTCGGCGAAATGAATAGATGTTTATTTGTTTTTTTGGGTTCATCTATCATCAAATTCGAATTCAGCGACCCCTAAAACCCCCGAGAAAAAAATTTCGACCGAATCCCATCATTCTTGAAATTATCTGCCATATTGGGTCGCCAAATTGGATACACGATTTTAAATTTTGATAATCAACTTTTAAATTTTCATGGTCGCCATTTCGAATATTTTAAATCTGATTTCAAATTCGGATTTCAACCTTAAAATCAAAATTTTCCAACTCAACTTTTTTGGAAGCTGAATATGACAATTTAAATGAAATGAGCCTTATATAGAAGTTACGATTTTTTAAAAAACTTGAATCCCCTCTAAAGTTTTGCATAAAACTTAATAATAATTTGGGGGTGAAGTACTTACCTATGGTACTAAAGTTTGTGCAAATTTCAGGGCGATCACGAAACCTTCAATTTTAAAGTTGGATCACTTTAGGAAATTTGCCTCATATATTTAAATATTGAAAATTAACAGTTTTTGCTTTTTACGACCACTTTTAATCGTTTTTTACTATTATTCAATATTTAAATATTCTTGTCCCATTTTTTCTACTATATATATTTGTAGTAAAAAACCTCATCATATACAATTAAATTCTTAAACTAACTAATTTGACATTAATGGTTTTAGTAGTTACAAAATTACTAACTAATTGCTTTCTGAATGATTAAAATAATTTTTATAAATTATAAATTTTAATTAAACAAGTTACCGTTCTAACATCAGGATACTTTGATTGGCTACTTTATTAATTTCTGCTAAGTGCTCTAGAGTAGATGACTTTTCTCTTTGTGCCTGTTCAATACTGCTGTCTAGCAGATGTTTATAATGAGCAATTGTGTGGTGTCTATCCTTATGAAGTGCACGAAGTAACTTTTGTAGACATTTCTGAATACGATGCATCTGGAAAGAATGATGATTTTTAAAAGTTTTATTTTGTTTAAATAATCCAACTACCTTAATTAGAAATTTTTTATACAGTATAGATATAAACATTTTAATATAATTGAACCTCGATAACTCGAATCCTTAGAATAACATTATTTGAATGTATTTATTTACTGTTTCTTTATTTTACGACAAAATTTACTTTTGTATACGAATTTTCGAAAAATGGATTGTAATTTAGTATCTTTTGACCTCCTGAACAAAAAATCGAATGGCAAAAATCAAAAAATGGACAGATTTTTTAATAATTAAGGTTTAAGTTTAAAAAAAAGTGTTAGAAAAATGAGCCAAAAGTTCTGAACGTTCAAATGAACGAAATATTTTTCTCAATCAATAAATTATTAGAAATTATGATGTCAATGTAAAATAAAATAGTAAATTAAACAATTATTAAATTAATAACTTATTTTTAGATGTTAAAAATAATATTTTATAATAAAATTCGTTTTTAAAGAAGTTGCAAAAAAAAATTTTTCATTAGAATGTTCGATACTTTTGGCTTATTTAAAAACAAAAAAATCAAAAATGAGTAAAACAAAAATAACTAAATGAACTTTCTTAAAATACGTTACTTGAAAGTTTCGGGGTCGCTGATTACGAACTCAAATTCAGTTTTTGAAAATCAAAAATGGCGGATGCAATATGTCCCACAAATTTTTTTAAAATACATCGAATGCAATATGGCGGAAGAATTATTAAAAATAATTTTTAAAAATACTTCCGCCAGACTGCATCCGGTATTTTGGATTTTCAAAAACTGTTGTTGAATTCGTAATCACTGACCCCGAAAATTCCCGAGTAACGAGTATTAAAAAAGTTTATTTAGTTTTTTTGGTTCAACACATTCCTGAATTTTTTTCGCTTTTAAGACTATTTTTTTAAATTTAAACCTTAATTATTAAAAAATCGATCCATTTTTTGATTTTTGCTATTTACATTTTTTGTTCAGGAGGTCAAAAATTACAATATTACAAGAAATTTCCCCGGACCCCAAGTTCCCAAGTATGGGGTGCGGGGTTGTTTAACTTTAAATCTTTAACTCTAAATATTAAATAACAATAAATAATAACCCAAACTGGGGCCTTTAGGATAAATTGTTAAATTTCTGTTATAATGAATTATTAATTTGTTAAATTATTGTAATTTTTTTTTTAATTTTAAAGAAATTCTATTTAATATTTTTTTATTTAATGTACTAAAACTTTATCATGTCTGTTGACTTAAATTCTGATTTTTGCATAATTTATTCAAAAAATCGACAAAAAAATTTTCGAATACTAGGTTGGTATCAGGCCAGTTACCGACCTCGGTCGGTGATGTAGAAATATTCTTTACCGACCGAGATAGTTCCGGCCGCCATCGGTCAATTCAAACCTGCTTGGTGGGAAATTTGAATTTTTTATAATTTATTTTCAAGTTATATAGTCATTTCAACTTGTAATGATCGTATATTTTTAGCATATAGGATTTGCTCGCCGGTTGGAGCCAGAGTATTCCAATAAAGTATTTTACTAGATTTTAAAGTAATCAAAACATTATTTTATTAAGACTTGTATTGTAATAATAAAATAAAGCAATACAAATGTAAAAAAGTACAAATAAAGTTATCGTAGTTTTCGTTTTTAAACTGTCGGTGCAGATTAAACAAAAAAATATAACAGAATTTAGAATTTAAAATGTGAAATGAAATTAACAATTTTTTGTTAATTTTTTTAGACCCAGTCTAGTTTGAGAATAATTCAATTCCCTTTTGCCTTATTTTTCCGACTATTCTTCGAAGGTATTCTAGAAATTTACTTCTGGATTTACGTCGTCGAACGAATCTAGATTTCGTGCACACTATAGATTGATCAAGGATCAATCAGAGGACTATTCATCATGAGGCTACCTGATGTTCATGTTCGACGCGAAATACTGAGAATAATGTTTCCACAAGATCTCACCTCTATCCAGGAAATATCCTGAAATATAGGATCAATCTTATGGTTCAGATGAAACAGGAGATACCTGCACTCATCTGGAATCCAGTTGCAAGGAAACGAATATGAAAGATGACTTCTTAACAAAAGTACCTGTAGAAGAGTCTGAGAAGGGGAGGATGATTGGCACTAAGTTTCCAAGATATTCACTAGACACAGAAGTACCTATAGTCTAGTGTACAATCTTCTCTAGGAACCTATATACTGACAATGAGAGAAATATCTCTACAATATACAGCCTAAGAAAGGTGTTTCTCTGGTACAGAGAAGTTCACTGCACACAGAAGTACCTATAGTCCAGTGTACGCCCTCTTATGTATACTTGTATTCAAAGAGAAGTACGTCTACCGAAAATAGAGTATTCCAGGCGTGAGGCCGCATCCACTAGCTCCGAAAAGTGCCACGAGTACGAGCGGAGAACGTTCTGACAAATAACTCTGAGCGAGCGAGGTATAATCACTCACCAAGGACTAGTGGGAGGGCGGCGTGTGGTAGGGGAAGAGATGTGTGGTAATAGGAGCTGATTGTTGTCCTCTCTTTACATAAAAGAGGGTACATCATGTTAATTTCTTACGTATCGAAGACCATTATATTGACGAAAATTTTAAAGAAGAAGCAGATGAAGAAGATGAGGACATATATATTATCTTGTTCAAGTATCACTACGTCTGGGTAAAAGACTTATCAATGCTTGTGAGTGCACAATTGTCAAAAATAATAAGAAGTACATTTGTGATCGTTGCTTACACTACTTTTCCGAGAAACAGAAGCTTGTAGAACATGATGAAAATTTGCCAAAATAAATGACATGAAAATTAGACTTCCACAACAAGGCAAAAATACTATTGAATTTAAAAATTTTCAAAACAAGGAGCGTGTATCCTTCATTATTTATGCAGACTGCGAGAGTCTGTTAATTCCAGCAGAAGCACCACAAGAAGTAAGCAATACTGAGGTCTTTCAAAATCATAAGATGCTCAGTATTGGTTATTATCTAAAATGTGATTTTGATGACTTATTATCCTCATACAAAGCATCACCTAAGGGGCCGTCCATAAACTACGTTACCTATTTTAGGGGGGGAGAGGGTCAAAAATTCTAAAAAAATGCATTTAACGCAATGGTAACGAGGGGGGTGAGGGGGTCTAAAAAGAATGAAGAAGTGGTAACGTAGTTTATGGACGGCCCTTAAAGATGAAGAAGCTCCTGCTAAATGGTTTTCAACGAAATTAAAGAACAAGATAGAGCATGTAGAACAGATTTAAAAAATTTTTAAACCAATGCAAGCAGTAAGCCCACAGCAGCTTGTAGATTTTAGAAATGATAATACCTGTCATATTTGTTGAAAGATAATTGCGCATGGGGATATGAATGTCAGAGACCATTGTCAGCTAACAGGGAAGTTTTGGGGTGTAGCACATCAAGAATGTAATGTACTTCCAATAAATAAAGAGTAGAATATTAGTTTTACTAAAAATGTAAAAAGAAGTATCCTCAAGTTTCGTTTTAAAGATTCCTTCAAGTTTATGGCATCATCATTGGATAAATTAGCATCCTATCTCGACGAATATAAAATTGTAAATTTAGTGTTTTCTAATTACAGTGACAATAAAATCCAATAGTTAACGCGAACAGAATTTTTTCCTTATGAGTATATTGACTCAAGAGAAAAACTCGACTAAACTCAATTATCACTGAAAAAAAATGTATAGTACTTTAAACGATTCAAATGTTTCAGATGAAGATTATGTACATGCGCAGAATGTGTGGAGTGAGTTTAATTGTCAAAATCTTGGTAATTATGTTTATTTATATATGTAAACCGATGTATTGTTACTCACGGATATTTTTGAAAATTTCAGGGATTAGTGTTTACTCGCGTACGGTCATGATCCTGCGCATTATTATACAACACCAGGACTGACATGGGATGCCATGTTAAAGTATACGAATATAAGATTGGAACTTCTCACGGACATCGACATGGTAATGTTTTTTGAACGCGGAATAAGAGGCGGAGTAAGTCAATGCACCAATCGATACGCGAAAGCTAATAATCCGTACCTGGAGAAATATGATACGTTCTCCATTATTGCACCGTTTTCTGTAACGCGTTCATATTTGACAACTGTTAAGAAAGTGAAGTTGGGTTGGCATTACCAGCAAAGAGTCACCTTACGACGTACCAGTATTATACTTGTATCGTACGAGTATGTTGTGCTTCCTATTTCAGAAGTACGATGTACTGGTATTGTACTAGTACCATACTTTTATCGAGTACTCACATTTTATAATTCTAACAGTACGACATACTTTCATTATACTAGTACCGCACTGGTACGTACATACATAATTATTTTGTACTTGTGTAAAACTAGTATAATACTAGTACGTTGTACTTCTAAAATAGGAAGCACAACATACTCGTATGATACAAGTATCTTTTTTTTGAAATACTCGTGACAAAAGAGGGATTCATAATTGACAAGAAAAAATACGGAATTAGGCGCAGAAGTTTATTTTATTTTCATTTGTTTATAATAAATTGTTGCTATTTTAAACAAATTATAAACTAAATTAAACAAATTTTTTTGTTTGAAAGCATGATTATTGTATATTACTCATACCAAATTTTAGGAAGATTCATCAAGTAGAACCGTAGAAAAGCTTTTTTTACTAATTGGATACTTAAAAATTGTTTAAACAATAACTCTTAAAAAAATTAAAATTTTGCCAAACAACTTTAGGATCTTATTTTGATTCCAAAATACTATAAAATTATTGATATCACATATAATATCTCCCCATCTAAAAATTAGTGGCTCATTTCAGAAATTTTCAGCCATAAATTAATAAATTTTGAATATATTAGTCTTGCTTGCCAAACAAGAATAAAAACTCTTGAAACAACAATAATTAAAATACCACGTTCGGATAATAAAAATTTGATACTATTAAGTGCTTATGCACCAGGAA